TCGCCCGGCCTGCTCTGCCATCGGCCCTCTCCTCAGCACGGGCCCAGTGTCCGGCTCACAAAAAGTCGCCTCCCTCAAACACCTTCCACCAGTTAAAAGCCCTCTGCCCCTAGCTGGGCGATGTCTGCGTGCTTCACCACAGCGCAGGCCCAGCGGCCGGACACACCCGTGTCTGAGGAAAACAGCAGTGGGCGGGGGGCGGGGGTGGGGCCACCAGAGCCCGCAGACCACCGTGCAGAACTGAGACCATGCCCCCAGCCACACGGGGAGCTCCGAGGCAAAGGGACCCCTTCGGGGTGCACCCCACCATGGGCTACCCCGGCTGCAGGGGCCCCAGGATGGGGCGCCCTGCCCTAACTGGCAGGTCCCAGTGCCTCCAGCGTCAGCTAAGGGCTTTGAGGGAGAGGGGCAGCCGTGCAGCCTGACACGGATGTCCAGGAACCTGTCCTGGATGCTCACCCTGACCTGGGAGAGACCCCACCAGTGTCGCCCTGCCCATACCTGGGCAGCATCTTCAGTGCTTCTAGAAAGCAGGCCATTAACAAACTAGAGGAAGAACATCATTTTCTGCAGAATTCACGGAAAAGTGCAACACTCGGGGGAGACTGGTCCCACAGCGTGGACACTCAGGCAACAGTGGTCAGATGGTGGCACAGACCACAGAGCAGGATGGGGGCAGGAAGGTCCCCTGGCTCCTCCCAGGCAGATTCACAGGCAGAACACCCTTTTAGCAGTGTTGCTTGGGGCCCACTCAGGGCGGTGGAGCCAGCTAGCTTTCCAGAGACAGGCACATCTTGTCTCAGCGTGTGGCACGGCTTCTGGCTCCTTCCCAGCTGCCCAAGCAGGAGCTGCTGCCTCCAGAGTGCACCTCCCAGATTTGCCCTTGGTTTCTGAAATAGGGGCTCTCCTCCCTGCTGCAGCCCCGCTGTCCCTTTCACACCTGGGCCTCACAGCTTTCCCACTAAGTCGTCTCTAGTCCCAGCCGGCCTAAGGCCTCCCGCTGCATCCTGCTCAGCAGTCACAGATGCGCATAACCTAACGCCCTGCACCCCCCTAATCACCTGCATCCCACCTAACCACCTACACCCCCAACCACCTGCACCCCAACTAACCACATGCACCCACAACCACCTGCACCCACCTAACCACTTTCACCTCACGTAACCACCTGCACCCCACCTAACCACCTGCACCCCACCTAATTAGATGAACCCCACATATAACCACAGGTACCCCACATACAATCATAGGCACCCCACATTTGGAAAAGCCTACCAGTGCTTCCAGAAGTCCTTTTTCCTAACACAAAACATTATCCCTTTTCTGTGCTTTTGCAATTCTTTCTGTTTTAGAGGAAGAAGCCTCTCTTCAGGGCTGAATTTTCTAGCACTTGCCAGTTTTCTCCAAGGCCCCATGGTGACCTGGGCCCAGGAAGAGCCTGTCATGATGGGTTTAAGTCTGTTTTGCATCATGTCCAGCACAGATGGTGGAGGAAGGTGGGTCTGGACAGGACTGGTATTTTAAAGCAATGCCTGATCTCCTAATCTTCAATGAAAAAATCAACCACATTCAGATTAAATAATATTTACTGAGTGCCTCTAATATAACACCCATATGTTTTATTTAATATCTCAACTAACCTCTGAGCACATTTTTTTTAAAGATTTTATTTATTTATTTATTTGAAAGAGAGAGAGAACGAGAGAGAGATAGAGAGTACATGAGAGGGGGGAGGGTCAGAGGGAGAAGCAGACTCCCCGCTGCGCAGGGAGCCCGACGCGGGACTCGATCCCGGGACTCCAGGATCACGACCTGAGCCGAAGGCAGTCGCTTGACCGACTGAGCCACCCAGGCGCCCTGTCTGAGCACATTCTTACGGACAAGGAGACAAGGGCTCAGATAGCATCACACAGTGGTCAATGTGCCCCAGGCCCGCCCAGCTCCAGGCTGGGACACACGCTTCACTCCCAGGGGGCAGATTGGGATGGACGCTGCCCTAGTCACTGAGAATGAAGACCCCTGACCCACCATGCCAGGCCACATGGCTCTAGGTACCCCTCCCTACGAAGGCCCTCAGCCTCCCACCGAGTAGAGGCAGGCCCTGCGGCAGCCAGGGTCCACGAACGCTGCGGGGTTCCCACAGCTCATCCCCGGGTGACCAGAAGGTCGCTGAAGAGAGGGACCCCTGGGGCCCCAGTGTTCCCTAGGGTTCCAGTGGAGCACTAGGGCTGATGGGCGAGAGGTGCCGCATCCCGAGGACACACTACGTGCTGGTTGCCTTGCACACACATGCCAGCGGATATTATAAACGCACTGTTGATTGCCTCATTTTGGATGAGGCCCGAAAAGCTTGAGGACATTGCACGGGGTCACAGAGCTCGCCGGTGGCAGAGGAGACTCAGACTGAAGCTGACAAAGCTCAACCGCATCACGCTTAGCCTTCTGCTCGGTGGCAAGGCCTACCCCGGTGTAGCAGATCCTTGTCCCAGTGGAGAAGCACGGACTCAGGCCACTCCCGCACGGGACGAAGAGTTGTGCCAAGAACTCTCCCCACTTAAGTCTTACCCCATGGTGGACTGTCTTACGTGTCCCCACCCCGAAATCAAGCCAGCCCACTGGAAGGCCCCGTGACAAGAGTGGGAGCAGTCCAGAGACCCTGAAGGCTCTGGGCTCCAGGGGGTGGGCATCGGCGTCGAGGGGCCTGGTCGGCACAGATGGGGGCCGAGGGGCTGCAGGAGGCAGGGAAGGGGGCACCAGAGGAACCAGTGGGGGGCAAGGTGTCCTCGGGAGAAAGTGTGCAGCAGTTCGGGGTGAGGGACGAAGACATCAGCTGCAGACTTGGGGGGGTGTGGCCCTGCTGGGCGGGTCTGTGGCTGCTCAGATGTCTGTGCAGATGTGGACCCCTGGGGTCGGGCATCAGAGAGGAGTGTAGACCTGTGCCCAGAGCACCTGCCAGAGGCTTGGGGGCTTGTCTCCATAATGCCAGTGGCGCTTGAAGACCTTCTCTGGCCTCATGGGTCAAGCTGGGGTCCAACTCTTCCCAGGGGATCTTGACTGACTTTGGGGGGAGCTCACGGGGGTCCCGGGGGAGAGCCCCCGACTGGGGGGTGGGGGGAGCTCACAGGGGTCCTGAGGGGAGAACCCCTGACCGGGGGAGGCCTGTGAGGCCCCTGCTCCTTCTAGAAGGAAACCCTCACAGAGCTGGGCTGGTTCCCCTGCTGGCAAGCACAGATGAGTCCCACCTGTGCCCAGTGTTCTGGCAATGGTGTCTGTTCCCCAGGCCACCAGAGGGCTTGGAGAGGTCACACTCTGAGCCTCTCCTGAAGGCCAAGCCCCTTCCTGTCCCCACAGTCATTTCTCAATGGCTGGACCTTGCCCCAGAGCCTGAGCCTGAGCCCCCATGCCTGCTCCAAGGTGAGCCTGACCTGGGGCCGCAGCACGGAGCTGAGGCCCAGCTCTCTGGGGCCTGCCCTGAGCGCCAGTTCTGCTGTCAGTGACGCCCAGCGTTGACCAACCAGCCTGACCTGGTAAATCCCCCTTCTTAAGGCAAAACTACTGAAATGGCATAAATTTCCCCTGAATTATTCAGGGCTGTCAGCACGTCATTTATAAGGGTCCTGCCTTGCTGGAGACGAGAAAACATACCATAGGCTGGGGGCCGGTCTGGCAGGCCACAGTGAGCGTGATAAAGCAGAGTGAGGAGCCTCGTGTGGGCCCACTCGCATGGGCTTCCTCCCCTCCGGGCAATCTGAAGACTCTCAGAGCCCGCCGCCCTCCCACCCCTGCCCCCAGGAGCCTCCGAGGAGGGGCCGGGTCACCCGCCCAGCTCAGCTGCCCCTCTAAGCAAACTGGTTTCCCCCCCCCTTCTGATGGGCCTCTCTGGGGGCTGGTCGCTCCTCCCGTGCTTCGTGAGGAAGCCCAGGCTTCAAGAGTTACAGACAATCACCAAGCCCCCTGAGCACGCAGCCCGTGATTGTCCACTTAGCCGAGTGACATGCTCGGGTCACCGGAGGGCTGCAGCAGGGAGGCCTGGGGCCAGCTTCCTGTTCCAGCCGCCGAAACTCCACACGGTAAGGCAGAGGCCCTGCCCGTGGACGTCAGGAAGGTGTGGGGCCCGAGGGATGGGGTGCCTGCCCACGGCTGCAGGGGAGCCCCTTCTTCCACACAGTGCTAAATGGCTCCATCCATCTTCCTGGCCTTCCAGAGCAAGCCCGGGCCGGAGACCAGTTGCTGTCTGTTGTGCATTCATAAGGGGATGAACAATTCCTGCACTTGAAGGAACCCTATCATCAGCGAGAGGAAAAGACTATTTTCTGTAGCATGTGAATTCAGCTTTTATGACTGAATGACAACTTGAATCTTAAAGCCCTAATCATTGCCATTTGCTTCCTAAAAATAACTGTCTCCCTTGTCCATATTTAGAACAGAAAACACTGAGCTTGGGAGCGAGGCTGGCCCCTGGGAGGAAGGCGCCTCTTCCCAGGGCCCGCCCGCCCTGACTGGTGCTTAACCCCTTCCTGGCTGTGACCAGCCCTCTCTGCTCCCCTCCCCGCAGGTTGGCAAATGGAGAACAAGGTCACCGGTCACCACCATCACCTCAGACATGGCCTGAGGGCCTGCGCAGGTCACCGGACCCTTCTGGGCCTCGGTTTCGCACAAGCAAAATAAAGTTCTGGGAAATTCTGCCCCACACAAGTCCTGTCCTGGTGGAGAGGGAGCTCCCTGGGGGCAGGAGTCTCTGAGGCCCTGAGGCACAGCTCTGGGGGGACCCTCCCCCTGCAGAGTGCGTTCTATAGAAGTGAGGCCTCCGGAGGCATGGGCCTGAGTGTGAAGTTGCCCACCAAGGCTCCTGAAGGACAGACGCGCGTGCGCCATCCTCAGGGTACCCTTGCCGCCTCTCCGCAGTGCTGGGCCTAAGCACAGCTCCCCAGGAAGCAGCCAGGCTGACTCACAGCCATGACTTGCCGCTCTGGAATGGTCTGTCATCACAGGTCTGCACATTCCTGGCAACAAGAGGAGGACCAGGCAAATGGCCTGGAGTGACCAGCACGTGCTCCCACCAGGGCAAGGGAGGGGCCCTCGGGGAAGGGCCCAAACCCAGAGGAGAGTGGCCAGCACGGAAAGACATGGCAGGAGGGCAGGCCATGGCGCTGACGCAGGGCCTCTGGCTGCAGTGGGCATTCCCTGGGGGCCCCCACGACGAAGCAGGAGCACACGGGAGCCCCCAGGGACCCCAGAAAGCAGACAGACCTGGCACAGCAGTAAGCTGCCCTGGATTAGGTGGACTGCCTGCCCCGAAGGATAGCAGGGACCCTGCCAGAGGTGGAACATCGTCACAGGTGAGTGGGGGTCGTCACTGGGGAGTTAATACCACGCGTGCTTTTCCATCCGCCCAGAACCTCAGACAGCAGGGCGACGTGGCAAGGACCGTGGGAAGTCTGCCACGTCACCCACCTCTAAGCCGGTTGGAGACGCTGCCGAGGTGCAGGGATGTTGATGGAAGGCGGGAGAGGCCTGGCTCCTTACACGAGGAATCCGCTGAGATTCTCAGTGTTTTCCTGGGCTGTCTCCCCGGCCCCTTTCCTGCAGGTGCTGCAGACTGAGCCACGCCTGCGAGAACGTGCTTCCGACATGGGTTCTGGGCGAGGAGCTGGGGCCTTGCTCTCTGCGGAGATGCATGTCTTGCAGGCCTTCTGTGCATGGGACCTTCCGGGGGGCAGAAACACGGAGACCTGGGAGCATCGTCTCTGCCAGATCATTGTTTCCAGTGCCACAGGGGAACCCCGAACGTAACCCAAAGGCACAACAGGGGCCGGTTCCACGGAGTCAGTCGTGCCCACGCAGGGGACTTTTGTACCTTTGTGGCCATGAAAAAAATAGATTGTGGAAGTATGTTTACTACTACGTACCAGTCCACAGCCCGGAAATGTCATCAGAATCCACTGGGAAGTGAAAAAACAGGTTACAAGTTTATGCTGCAGATTTCCACTTTGGGAGGAACAAAGCATCAAAAATAAAACAAAATGATAACAGTCATTATCTTGGGTAATGTGTTTCTCTGTGATTCCTGTCATTTACCTTCTGCCTATCTTTATTTTATATGCTAGTAAAGTACATTAAAATGCATTAATTTTGGAAAAACTAGGTTAAAAAAACGTGAATGTCTTTAAAGACCATGCTGGTTCTCTCCCCAGGATGATGCCATTGGGCCGAGGACACTGGGACCTCAGGCCTGGCCTGCCCTCCACCTCACCCCTGCCACAGCGGCCAGGGTCAACCCCGAACAAGGAGCTGAGCAAAAGAGGGGACGACAGTCGTCGGTCACGCTGGGGCCGTTCAGAAAACCCTGCTTCCCCCAGCGATCGCGAGGATGTCTGCCGCATCCCCTGCAGGCGCACCCTCCTCGGACACGGCAGCCGCACTGGCCTGGAGCCCTGCACAGAGGACGCGTCTCCTCACTGTGACCCAGCACGCTGCCCGCATTCTGGGAGAATGGGGACCGAAAGTCATTTTTCTTTCCCTCCCAACGGCTCATCGTCTAACCACCAGCGATCATTTTAGCTAAGCACACACCCGTAGGCCCAGAATTTAGATGAAAATGCCCTGAAGATAGAAGGGGGAGTAACGAGAACTTTACTGGGAAATCCTAGGGTGTTCGCAAGAGGTGGAAACACCTCCCAGAAATTGACTCATAGCTGCTGTGCCCTTTCTGTGAGGTGCTTGGCAGAAGAGAAGGAGGAAGGAGGCCAGGAGGGTTGCTGAGGCCCCCACCCCTCCACTCCCACCCTCCCTCTGGGCAGCGCCACCCTCCGGCTCCTGGTGCCCTAACCCCTCGCCCTCCTCTGGCCGACCCAGGCCTCTCTGCTCCAGACGTCTTTCCACACTGGTCCCTCTAGTCTGCTGTCTTCAGGGTTCAGACTGAGATCAGCTGCACGGGATGCTGGGGCGTCCTTCTGATGCCGATGCTGATGCCTCCCTCACCAAACCCAAGCCCACCCTGTGGGTCCCGGCCAGACTAAACTCCAAAACTCGACATCACGGAGTCAAGTCGTCTGTCTTCTCAAACGCCTGCAGAACGTCCCCGCTTCTCGCCCTAACCGATGATTTTCATTGTGCTTCCTTTCACACGGGATGCAAGAAGGCCTGGCAGCCTCTCTGTGACCGTCCACCTGCAGGGACGGCTCCCCGAGCCAATTCTCACCCACCCCTGCTTGCCCCACTGACTGCAGGTCTGCATCTCCAGAATCGCTGAATTTAGCTCCTAATCATAGGCTGTCTTTTCTTACGTAATGATTGTTTTCAGTCCCCATTCCAGTCGGAAATTCCTCAAGGAAAAAGGCATATACATAGGAAATCCCAAAAAATACGTGCAGAGGGATCGGAATGGGATTGAAACGTCAGGGAGTTGCCTCAAAAGCAGGGAAGCAGCATGAAATGTGGCCCTGGCTCTTCAGAAAACTAACCAGCCCCAAGCAGAAGTAAGAATTTAAATCACATATAAATTTTGCGCGTATTTGCTGAGGAAATGCAGCGTCGTGGGTGAGAAAGTCCGGCAATAGACAAGGTGGATTCCCATCAGGGTTCTTGGGGAGGGGCGACCCGGTGCCGGAGGGCGGCCAAGGACCCCTTTGATCCCATTGTGCACCTTCCTGCCTGTGACCCGTTTCCAGGTCAATAAACCAGAGTGTGAACTACACAGATCCTCATCTTCTGGGCCCTTGTTTCTGCTGGGAGGGGAGCAGAAGGGGAGCCGACACGGAGCCACCTCCCTGCTGGCCTGGGGGTAACGGGCCCGGGACGCCCGCCAAGGAGGATGTGGGAGGCTGGGGCAGGGCTCCTCAGAAAGGAAGCGGGCACCAGCTCAGGAAGCCGCTCAGGCTCCCACTGACGGAGGGCAGGACGGCCATCCTGGGCACCTGGACCCACACACCGACACCACGGAGGCAAGCTTCTGCCTTTGCCGTGCTTTGTGGTGGCCCCGAGCAGGATGCAGGGAGAGGACAGAGGCCAAACAGATTTGGGGAGTTAGTGGGGGAGACGCCCCACTGCAGGCTGCAAGCCTCCTCCCGAGACAAAGACACAGCCAGACGTCTGGGACTCAGACAGCAAGGACCCTGCGCCCCCAGTGTGTGACCTGAAGATGGAGACAGCAGGGCCTCCTTCACGTGCCACCAGGAAGGAGGAACAGACTATGCACGTCAAGCAGCAACTTAGATATCCAACATGTGGCAGAATTTTCATCATAAAATTGTCTCTGTGTACAAGTTCAGCACTTGAAAATACCTCAAGTGTGTTTTATGTTATCCCAACACTTGCAGAATCCTCAAGTCCAATGTAGTTCAAGTCCAAGGCCCCAGGGAAAGGACCTCAGGGCCCCCTGGCTCTCCCGAGCTCACTCAGAAGGCCTAGAGGCAGGGAGCCCCCAGGAGCTTCCCCCGGGGCCCTGTCCCCTTCACCTCCCAGTCTGGGCCCTTCGTCCCGGGGTGAGCAGGGCGTGGGCGCCGGTGCTGCGCGTCGGCCCCTTCCAGAGCATGTGGGAAGCCCGGCCTGGGATCATCACGAGGTGCTGATCGCAGCTTCTTCCGTGACCCTGCCAAGTGCTGGGCCCTGAACCAAACTTAGGATGTCTTCAGTTTTAACCCCCACCTTAGCCATGTGCGTTAGACCTCAGCATCAACACCCTCACCTCAAGTCTTGTGGAGGGTCTAAAGTCAGATGAGAGGACCCCAAAACCACACTTTTACCTGTATAGGATTCTCTATTAAGTTAAAATCAGCTATTTTTTTGTCCTTGATGGTCTGATGACCCAAACTTGCATTTTCCTGTCTTCTGTCCATCTGCTTTAAGATTAACCCCTTGATGACTTCAGCCTCCTACCAGTGTGACCACGGTGGGCAGGGGACGGACCACTGAAACAGGCCACATCCGTGGCTCCAGAGAGAGGCTTGACGTGAGACATGTAAGATTACTAATTAACGCAAGGTTTGTATATTCTCTTAAAAAGGCAAATGTGGACAATTCCAAATTCATAGAACCATAAATGATAGCCTACTGAGAAAATGTTAGCAGTTTCTCATAAAAATAAATATACACCAACCCTATGAACCGACAATCCCAATCTGAGGTGTTTATCCAAGAGCAATGAGGCTATATGTCCACAAAATTACCTGTAGGAAAACACTCATAACAGCTTTATTCATAGAAGCCGGACTGGAGACAGCCCACACAGCCATCTCTAGGATGGGGTCAGTGGGGACAAGTGCCTGGCTCCTGAGGAACTATGTGGACGAGTCACAGACATGTGCAGCTCTTATCTTTACGACCACACGCCCTCAGTTTACACACTCGTGCAAAGCCAAAACAGACCTGTGTTAGAAAAGAACCCAGAAGAGTCAGACAGAGATGGACGACAGGGCCGTGGCGGGGGGTCTTCTGGCCTGATGTCCCCTGCTGCCCTTCGTTTTGATCTACCTGCCTGCACTCAGCCATGGCACTCAGCAACGGGCAGAAGCTCTGTGAAGACAGCCACTCTTGAAAAGCAAGCCGCCCACGACCTACCTTGGTCTCTGCTGAGTTTTCAAGGTCGGGTCAGTCCCAAGGCTCACGGGTCCCACTGTTACACTCTCCCTGCTGCACTGGGGGAAAGCCCTCGTCTCTTTAAAATGCATGTGCTGAAGCTGATCTTGATCCGCACCAGCTGTGAATTGGGTTCACTGTTCAATTTTTATGGTTCCAGGGATGAAATGTCTCTGAGAAAGACCCAAAAGGGTTCTGTCTTGCTCAACAAGGTCACAGCCGCTCAGTGGAGGCAGCTCAGTCAGGGGAGTTGCTCTGGCCAATGAGACGTGAGGCCTGACATGGAGGCCATCTCCATCCAGTACGGTGTCTATGAGCCAACGTGTGAGTCAAAGGCTCTTGGTCCTCTGCAGGGCTGACTTGCAACAGTCCAGACAAATGCTGCTCCAACAGGCTGGCTCCTGAGGAAGGGGACGTGGGACCACCACAGCTGGGCCACGACCCACGTGGAGCCTGACAGGAAACCAGCAAGTGGTGTTGGAACAGTGAGATCCGGGGTCACTAGATATCACAGCATAACCTGGTCTGATGGTCAGCCGTTAGGGGAATATGAATTCAGGACTATGAGGAAGTGTGTGTGTGTAGAAATCTGCAGACCAATGTCTTTCATGAACATAAATGCAAAAATCCTGAACAAAATATTAGCAAATAAAATCCAACAATAGATAATCTGACCAGGACCAAGTGGGATTTATCTTAGCTATGTAAGGCTGATTCAACATTTGAAAACCAATTAATGTAATCTATCACATTAACAAGCCAAAAAAGAAAAATCACATATCAATAGATGCAAAGTGACACACTCCAACACCCATTCATGATAAAAAAAAAAACTTTCAATAAATTACAAATAGAGGGGAACTTCCTCAAACTGAGTTTTTAAAATCTATAAAAAACCTACAGCAAACATCATGCTTAACAGTGAGAAACTGAAGCTTCCCCACTAAGATCAGTTACAAAGCAAGGATGTCTCTTCTTACAATTCCTTTTCAGCATTGTACTAGAAGTCCTTGCCAATACAATAATGCAAAAAATGGGATAACAGGTACACAGATTGGGAAGGAAGAAATAAAGCTGTTTGCATACAGATGGCCTGGTCATCTGTGTAGAAAATCCAAATAACCAGCAAGAAACCCCTGGAACTAATAAGCAATTATGACATTACAGTTGCAAATTTAATATACAAAGGTCAATCACCTTCCTATATGCCAGTAACGAGTAAGTAGAATTTGAAATTAAAGACACAGCACCTTTTACATTAGCACCCCCCAAAACGAAATACTTAGGTATAAATGTAACAAATTATGTACAAGATCTCTCTGAGGACAACTACAAAGCTCTGACGAAGGAAACACAGAAAAACTAAATAAATGGAGAGATGTTCCATGTTTATGGATAGGAGCACTCAATATTGCCAAGATTTCAGTTTTTCTCAACTCGATCTCTAGATTCAATGCAATCCCAATCAAAATCCCAGCAAGGTATTTTGTGGATATGGATGATCTTATTCTAAAGTTTACATGGGACCAAGACCCAGAATAGACAGTGGTTCAATAATGAAGGAGAACAAAGCTGGAGGACTGATTACCTGACTTCAAGACTCACTATCAGATATAGCTGCGATTATCAAGACATCGTGGTATTGGCAGAAGAGCAGACAACTGAACAGGAGAGAGAGCCCAGAAACAGACCCATAGAGACACAGTCAGTTGATCCTTGCAAAGGCAACACAATGGGGCAAAGATCGTCTCTTCAACAAATGGCGCTGAACCTACTGGACATCCATATACAGAAAAATGAATCTCAACAAAGACCTCATGCTCTTCACAGAAACTGACTAAAAATGAATCATTCATTTTTGCAATGAATGCAAAATGCAAAACTATAA